TGTCTACTTGACTTGGTTTAGTTAATAGGGTACGTGTGCATTGCAAATCTTCTAAGATCTCTCCCAAGATTTTCTTTACTACTCGTATGCCCCATTCTGCTTATCACTTGGTGCATAACATTCATGYAATTGCTCGTGTTTTCATTACTAAAGAAACCACTTTACCCATCAGTTTGAAGCTATGTTGTCAAAATCGCGATATATCGCCGATATATCGGCGATATATCGGATATCGCTCGGAAAAAAAAAATCGGTCATGAAAAATCGGCCAAAATATCGCCAACGATATTATCGGCGATATTTGGCGATATTTGGCGATATTTGGCGATATTTTGAGCGATATTTTAGTGAAAAATCGGTCCGATATTCCGATTTTTACAAGGGTTAAAATTTGGGTTTTTTTTTATTCCATGGGCCTTATTTTTTGGGCTGCTTGGTAAATTAGGTCTAAATCTAAATCTAAACTTAGTTCAGACTTCTTCTCTCAGTCTCTCTCTTTTCTCTCTCGCTTTTCTCTCTCGGTCTCTCTCTTTTCTCGCTAACCTAAACGAAGAAGTGAATGTATTGGATGGTGTTGACTCGGATGCCGAACCTATTGCTTGCGATTAGCTTGTTTTTGAACACTTTARATGATGTGATGTTTTAATTTTGAAACTATATTTCTAAACTCTAATTAATGCATATTATATATATATAATTCTAAGAAATATTATGTTAACCGATATTTCCGATATATCACCGATATATCGAATATCGGTCCTGACCGATATTTCGTATTCTGACCGATATAACAGCATAGGTTTGAAGTAACCCGAATATGTGACTCATGAGCAAAGAACTGCTTTTGGAACTTTAGATTATTATCAAAGCGAACCCTATGTAAAATAACAGACATAAGAAGACATTTCAGTGATAGATGAGGTACACCTATATAGTTGATATATTGTTAACCTTGCTTCTACTACATCCTACGTAGTACGTACACATAAACGTTTTTTTTTTTTTTTTTTTTTTTTTTTTTTTTTTTACGGCAAATAGAACAAATAAACTCACACATCCTCCTTATCTTTGATGAAGGTTGAAATCTGATGCTCCTATGAACGTCATATGGGATATCATGCGCTGTTGGGTTTTTTTTTTTTTTTTTTTTTTTTTTTGTAACTGTGGGTGTTCAAGCCAACTTGTGTGCACCTCAACTAATCCCATAGGCCCTGATAATAAAATCTTAATCCTCAGTAGCCCTGAGGAGACTCGGAGACTCGAACTGGTGACTTATGGGAGGGGACCTAGGGCTAGCCTTTATTTGCCAGTTGAGTTGACCCTCAAGGTTACATCCATATAGCGTTGGCCTTGATGAGTAGTGGTTTAAGCTTGCTTTCCAAATTGATACTAATTATCTCATTAGCACCTCCAACGAACTTCTTCCCTACAAACACAGCTGGGACACTCGGGCTGCATCCGAACCCCATTAATTCCCGCTCTATTACTTGTCCATTAGGAAGCTCGTCAAGCTCATAAATAGTTGGGTTGGCCCCAAATTTTCTTATGAGCGCTATGATCGAGTGGCTTATACAACACGTTGTTTTGCTGAAGATCACAACTGGATTCTCGGATAACAGACTCATCACTGTGGTCATCTTTATATGTAAGATATGGTTTTAGGAGTTCTGAAGGTTGGGTTGCTTAAATTTTGAGCTCTCTTAAGGTTTATTTATACTTAGTTTTTATGTGATGGTGGAATTCATTCTTTAGGATATCAATGAAATGGAATGGATTACTTTTGATCATAACTTTTTTCTCATCCAACATCACTTCACAAATCTGAATATTTGAATAGTGTTGATGTACACAATGTGAATATGCTTTTATCTTGCTTTCTGGTGTGTTTTAGATGCTGTTAGTTTTTGTTACTAGCCGATGATTTCATTCGTTTTTACATGTGCTTTGTTGTTTATGAGCGTTTTTCTAACAACCCATCTCATATCGATTTGTGAGCTCCTTATAAGCTCAAAGTTATGGGTTACCAATAACTTTCACCATGCTTTTAAGTTGAATATGAAGTTATTGAACTAGTCTGGTGCTTTGAGTTTGGGGCGTTATAGTTTTTATCTGCAAAATATGGTGTAATTAGGACAATCATTTGATCAATTAGGTTCTACTTCTGCACATTATGAAATAGTCAGGAAATTGTTTTAGCATTTATGTATTTCTACCTTTCACGCACTTTGCATTAGTTGATGTATTCAGGGAAATAGTCTCTCTACTCTTTACGGCAGAGCTCAAGTAAGCCGTCTGCGTGCATCTTATCCCCAAGATCTCACATCCAGGTGGGATATACGATGCTCATTTGGTTTACATTATGGGAAAAGTATGGTTGGTGGACCTAAGATGCTTTCGAATGTATGCCACGACCAAAATGGTCGTGATCCTGACACACATTATGCATTCTTTTGTTTATTACCAGGCAAAATGCGTCAAAAGTAACAAAGTTATGTTAGTTCCTACTGCTTGCTCAGTATAATGATAGAATTTTTGTGTGCATTTAACGTAACAAATGTTCAATTCATTCTGTTATGTAACAATTTCATATGATAAACGAGTTTTTAACCTATATGATATCTAATAATTTGGATCCAAGTAGTCAAGAAAAATAATATAACATAACTTGATATATTTTTTTATTAACCTGGATATTCAACCAGCTATGCGAGCCGACTAATCTCAGGGCGACCACCTGCTTTGCAGATAACCCGGAGTCACAACATTTGAACCTCCATGGCCACAAGGGGATTTTTATTCCTCCTTGGATTTGAACCTGAGACCTCCTGATACTTTTGACCTTTGAAGTCAAGCTCAAACCAATCAGATACCACCCTTGTGGTTTATTTTTTCCATCAATAAATACTTATCATTAGCATTAGTTCATTTTGGCCTATTATTGAGAACTTTAGCTTTGAGGAGGATCTTGAGTGGGGAGCCTCTCTTTGACAATCTTTAGATGCCTTATCCACATATCTATATTTCCATATATGGAATATAAAGTTGAGGTGTAATCTATATATGATACTTATCTTGTTTTCTATTTTGTCTTTTTTGGATTCGAAAAGAATACGAATTTGTTATTTACAAGTATTGGTGATTTTAGCTTAAGACTGTAAAAAGATGGACGTTWTTTGTAGGATGAGTGAGATATTTGGGATTCGACTTTAGACATCGATCATCTCGTCCATATAATAATGTGATTTACCTGCTCCATGATGGGTATAGGATCATTAAAAGGCAGGGATACGTCATTAACCTTTAATGTTTAYRTAACAAATAGATAAAGTTGGATTGAAATTTCGTTACAAACAAATGTTTCTGTAGCTTAAATTTACCTAATTAAATCATTCACGGTTTTATTAATTTATACACATGAAAATTTGTTTTGTAAGTTGTACAATTTATTGAGTTTGTAAATGATTGTCCCCGTGTGTGTGTGTGTGTGTGTGTGTGTATAATATGACAGAAATTTGTCTTCTTCTATCATGCCTTAAAAAGCCCTGTGTTCTCATTGTGAAACGTAAGACTTGAGACTTGACCATGCTATCATGTTACGTCTCATCTCATTTAGAACCTTAATCAAGAAACATAAATATTTGGAGGTCATAAATTATGACATTTTTTGTTAATAATACTGAAAACACATCATAAAAGGAAACTATTCCAAGGGTCTTGAGATGATTGAAATGTATTGAATCATAAATATAACATTATTATCGATTTTTTGTAGAGAAATTGATGATCAGGGATGGAAACAGGGTGCATAATGCATTTCCCGTCTCTAATCCAACCCCAATTAATCTCGACAGGTTCAGAGGAAGGAATCCGTGACGGATTGAGATGTCCATTTAGTATACAATAAAAAAACATTGTATTTCAAAATAAAAATTACATTCAGTCATCGCTAAATTACTTGTTAATATTGAAAATCAAATATATTTTTATACATTTATCAAGATATATACATAGACAAAGGATCATGTGAGAATAAAAGTTAAAGTAAGAAGTATAAGAAGAGATTTGGACCATTGATTAAATTTAATCTTAAATCAACCCATGAATTGCGCTTAAGAAGAAAATTGATCTGATGCTTCTTATTAGTGTTGATTTAGTGAAACTCTTCAATTATGATTGATCTAAGGGTGAAAATCTTTTCTTTTCTTTCTCACCAGAACTCTTATTCTCATCGGAACTCAAGCTTGTGCACACACATGTATATATATATATATATATATGGTTGGGTTTCGGTGAGAAGGAAAGTTACAGTAAGAAGTGTAAGAAGAAATCTTCACCCTTGGATCAATCATAATTGAAGATCAACACTAATGAGATGCACTGAATCAATTCTTGAGAGAAGCGTTATTCATGGGTGGGCATGGAGATTAAAAACGATCAAGGGTCGAAACTATTTCTTACGCTTCTCACTTTAACTTTTTTTTCTCATACAATCATTCGTCTCTCTCTCTCTCTATATATACACACACATATTTAACAAAATAGAAGTTTAATCAGGGTTGGATTAGGAGCAAGTAGTGTCATCCCTGACCTCACTTTGGGTATGAATATAACCCCCCCTCCCTGTCCGGTTACCTGCCAAAACAAAACCCCAGTTCCCATTAGTAAAACTTCCATCTCTATCGATGATTAGCGTTTCTTTACTAAACTGTTTTAAGCTCATACGATTTTATACCGTCTCGTATCATTTTGTACTGTGTCATGCCATTTTTAAGAGCTGCTTATTATGATAAAATATTTTATATGCATTACAATAAAATTGACTTGTTAAACTGTTTATAATTGTTCTAATATAATAATTAATGAAACTTTGAAGTTCATAAAACAAAAACATACGCCTCTTGTACAAATGCATTACAATAATTTGTTAGACAAAACTCGACAATCTGACAAATTTTCTTGTAGTGATTATTATATCAAGATCTGTCCTTGTATGTATATGATTCACATTTATTTGGGCAAAAAGTTGATTATCAGTAATCTCAACCGGACTCACACGGAACCCTCTTTCAAGAACACCAATGCGATGAGACGTTTTTTAGCTCACTCAGCGGCTGATACCAGTGGAGAGGGAGGGTCGGGATTCAACCCGAGACTTGTGTTACATTTACAATTTACATTTATAAATGACTCTTCATGGTCATCAATGGGTAGTTTCTATGTTATTCTTTTTGCCTCTTCCTTAGAAGCTAACATTTGGTCCATCTTTTCATATATAACCCTTCTTGGTGGTCATATAATTATTCTTTGCATGCAAGATTTTGATTCAAATTTATTTATTAAAAAACTATTATAAAAAATATACTAAAAAAACACATGGGTCTTCCAAACCCATTTCATTGACCAACAAAAAGTCTGGAATCAATTAAGGGATGCTTGATTGGTTTGAGATTGGCTTCAAAGATCAAAACTATCAGGAGGTTATGGGTTCAAATCCAAGGAGGAATAAAAATCCTCTTGTGGCCACAGAGGTTCAAATGCGGTGACTCCGGGTTATCTGCAAAGCAGGTGTGGTCGTCCTGGAATTAGTCGGCTCGCATAGCGGGTTGGATATCCTGGTTAATAAAAAAAAGCCTGGAATTTTTATGACCCCGGTCAGGCTAGGCTCGGCTAGACTGTATGGTTGAAAATTGGCGTGATCGAACTTTTTGGATTTAACCGGACTTTTTCAATCTTTTTTAGACCGAGTTTTTTTGCAGTGGTGTGACTGCCACTGATTTTTCGGCTTGATCAGGCTTTAGGGCCTAGCATGAACCGAGGTCCGGGCTCACTGGGTTGAATCAGGGTTCGTGGTTGGACTTTTTTGTGAATTTTTATATAATTAAATAGTATTTAATTATAAGTTAAAATATATTATAAAAGTTTGTATGAAATGAAAATGAAAGGGTGAAATTATAATTACAGATGGAGCATCAAATAATAGAGCAAGTGGTTGAAGATGCTGAGATAATGGATTCTAGTTATCATCCACATTTCTAGTCGTGTTCCCAAATTCCTTTGGTGTACGGACTCCCTTATTTAACTGTAGCAGAACATATCTTTTAGTTGTACGGCATTTATATGTTTGGTAGATAAAGGCACTCAGTTTTTTTCAAAATTATATATATATATATATATATATATATATGAATGATCATTGTGAGAAGAAGAGTTAAGATGAGAAACGTAAGAAATGATGTGTACATTTAATCTCAAACTCACTCATGAATTATGACTGATACTGGGATTGATTAGTAGCATCTCGTTCTAATTTGTATCCAATGGTGGATGTCATTTCTTATGCTTCTCATTTTAACTCTACTTCTCAATGGAACTGGACTCCTTTATATATAGAGGGAGAATCAAACAAAAGAGAATACAGAAACGGACAAATCACGTGCAAAATCATATCAGATTTTATATTATCGGGGGAAAAAGATGCATGGGCGAATTTGGTTTTTTCTTCAGGTCGCGGGGCAAAGTTGTGTGAATCGCATGTGATTTTGTACGTGATGTTAATATACAATCACATATGATTCAACCATTTTCTTATTCTCTTAAATAGATACCGTTCTCTTTTGAACCCGCTTCTCTCTCTCTCTCTCTCTCTCTCTCTATATATATATATATATGTGTGTGTGTGTGTGTGTGTGTAGAGGAGCGATCAAATGAAAACCACCCTCATTTGTACAAACCGTACAAACCACCCTCATACGTCGATTTTATTGTTTAATCTTACGAAATTTTTTCATGAAATTGTTTCATATAATACTTTTTTTGATGAATTTGTTTCATATATAGTTATGAAATTGTTTCATATAATATTTAATGAAATTTTAATGAACTGTTTCATGTATTTCTCTAAAATTAAAATAATGAAGATGATAATATCCATGATTAACACCCTCCACAATAAAAATGGTTAATCAACCTCTCATAATTACAAAAAAAATGAACAAAACGAAAAATTATGATTGGTTGAATGTGTTTTTCACGGTTTGTACAAATTGAGTGGTTTTTATTTAAACGCTCCTCTATGTGTGTGTGTGTGTGTGTATATATATATATATATACACTCAGTTCTCATTTGATTAAGCCCCTATATATATATATATATATATATATATATATATAGACTTGGGATCATGTGAGACCAATAGTTTTTTCATGAGACCCGTAAGACCAATTCTCAGCCCTTGGATTAGATCTACAATCGTCAGATCTGAACATTCATAAACGCCACGAGACTTCTCAATAATTACAAAATTACCACCGTGCAACTTTAAACCATTAGATCATATGCTTATAAAGTTGATCAATGAACATAAATTGGTCTTACGGGTCTCACGAAAAACCATTGGTCTCACACGTGAACCCAACTATATATATATATATATATATATATATATATATATATATTTTAAGCATATGGTTAAGATTATTGCTAAATAGACAAATACATCGTTATTTTGAAGTATATAATATTTATATACTGCAAACTGCAAATTAAACTCATGCACATTTCTCACCAACTTGAGTCCTTGATTTTTGTTAAATTTGGCTTACAAATTACCGGTAGGCATTTGTTTTTTGATAACTATAACAATTATTCGTTAATATGGTTTAACTGTTATATGATGATTTACTTCTTTCTTTTCCTGCAAATATATAAGTAGGATTTTATCTATATTTTTGCAAGATAGAGTGAGAATCATGTGTGAGGAAATAGAAATAGTGACATCTTTGCAGCAAAAATGTCACTATAATATATATATATATATATATATATATATATATATAAGGTTGGGTTCACGTGAGAACAAGAGTTTTTCGTGAGACCCGTAAGACCAATTTATGTTCATTGATCAACTTTATAAACTAATGATCTAAGGGTCTAAAGTTGTACGGTGGAAATTTTGTGATTACTGAGAAGTCTCGTGGCAGTTTTGTGATTATGAATGTTCAGATTGTAGATATAATCAAAGGGTTGAGAATTGGTCTTACGGGTCTCACAAAAACCCTTGGTCTCCTATGATCTCAAGTCTCTCTCTCTCTCTCTCTCACTATATATATATATATATATATATAACTAACAGTTGTGTGTCTTATATAAAAGTGTTATAAGTTAGTTGTTAGAATGAAGTTGGACAATCTAGCTGATAAGACTTAAAATGTAAATTATATGTTATGATAGCCGGTGTTCAAGGTTAAAGATGTAAAAACGGACAAAGTAAGACTAGTTGCAAAGGGATTTACACAAAAGAATTGTACTGATTATGAGAGGTAAAAACCAAAATTACTGAGAATTATTGTTGAGAGGTTAATCTCAATTTGTGATTTCAATTTGTAACTTCTCTTCGGTTTTCAGTATTCTTAATCAATAAAAGCTTCCTCCTCTTCCTTGTGAATTTACATCACCATGTTTGTGGTGGAACACGGTAAATTTAATGTGCATTGGTCGGTTTGTTCTCTCGTTTAATTATTTGTATAATATCCAGTTGTCATTAATGTTTGCTTTACCGCGATCCTACCTTTTTTTTATTTTATTAACTTAGATATCCAACCCTCTATGCGAGCCGACTAGTTCCAGGGCGATCACTTGCTTTGCAGATAGCCCGGAGTCACCGCATTTGAACCTTCGTGGCCACAAGGGGATTTTTATTCCTTCTTGGATTTGAACCTGAGACCTCCTGGTACTTTTGACCTTTAGAGCCAAACTCAAACCAATCAGGCATCACCCTTGTGGTTGATCCTACTTTTATTTGTGTATTGGTTGCCGGTTTGATATCACCTAGTCTCTCTCTGTTGCAAATATATTTCATTATTTTGTTTGACTTTGGACCGTATACACTATTCAACGTCGGTGTAGCATATAGAATCAAAAGTGATAGCAATCGAGTCTTGCATATTAGCATAGTAATTAATTGACGTTTATGCATATATATTGTCTTGATCGTTATTCTGTTATTTTATCCGGATTCATTAATTGATCATATTCTGATAGTACTTTATTAGATAGTCTAACTATATGTTTATAAAAAATTGGAGTTCATGAAATTTGAGTTATTCCCAACCAGTTCTGAATGAATTGATATTTTTCTATCAATCACTTTTTAAGATCGTTTTTGGTGAAAACTTTCATCACTTGTCCACAACTAACCAGTAAAAAGGTTCATTAGTACTCAATATTGTTTTCATGTATATATATGTGTGTGTGTGAAAACAATATATATATATATATATATATATATAGGTCGGTCGAGGTTCAAACAAGAACACCTTCGTTTTACGAAAACGTGAGAACACCCTAATCACATATGATAATATATGTGAGGGGACTTGGTGGTGTGCGGATGACTTGGCCCGCAATCTAGGTCGCATGAAAGGTTGTATGCGTCTCTGATTTAGGATCGCATATGATGGATTATAATATCATATCAAGAACTCCCTTATCACTTGTATCAAACATGTTATGGGTCCAAGTAGTGTGCGGATGACTTGGCCCACAACCTAGGTCGCGTCAAGGGTTGTCCACATCTTTAGTTTAGTATTACATGTATATCATATGTGATGAAGTATAGTATCATATGTCATTAACTATAATAAAATGGTGTTCTCATTTGTACCCTTCCCTATATATAGGGAGATTCTGGGGAAAACCCCCAAAAATGAAAAATTGAGGAATACCCTGATAATCATTCATCTAAATGGTCTACATATATGTATACAAGTAAATGGAGTTGTTTCTTGTTTTTATGCACTATCGCATGTTATGCATATATGCATACCGACCAAATTGCTTATACATTATTTATATTCGCATGTGCATATCAGCTAGATGAACGGTTACAAGGGTATTCCGCAGTTTTTCATTTTTTTCGTGGTTTTCCCTTAAATATGACCCTATATATACATATTTATGGAGATAATGAGAGTTCATTCATTATGATGAACGCTTTAGATCATAAAACAATTGAAATATTTACGAAGTTTATTCATTAGACTAGATAAACGTACAATTGATATTGGTTTATTAATTAGAAGGTTAATGTGTATTTGAAAATTCCTATATATAGGTTTACTAGTACTCAAGATTGCTTTCATACATACACACACACACACACACACACATATGTACATATTTATGAAAATGATGAGAGTTCATCATTATAATTAACGCTTTAGATCACGAAACAGTCGAGATATTTATGAAGTGAAATTTTCATTAGACTAGATGGACGGTTGAGATTGGTTTGTATATACATACACATATATACATCTTTATGGAAATAATGAGGGTTTATTCATTATGATTAATTAATGTCTTAGATTAGGAAACAATCGAGATATTCATTAGACTAGATGGAGGGTTGGGATCGATTTGTTTTAATTGGAGAATTAATTTGTATTTGAAACTTCCTCCATATATAGGTTTATTGGTACTGAAGATTGCTCATATATATATATATACACACACACACACACACATACATCCACACACACATACATACATATTTATGGAAATTAATGATGAAAGTTCAATTCATTCATTATTATTAACGTTTTAGATCATGAAATAATCGGGATTTTTACGATGTCAAATATTTATTAGACTAGATGAACACTTGAGATTGATTTGTATTAATTAGAGGGTTTGTATTTGAAGCTCCCTATACACATATGTATATATATATACACACACACACACATATTTATGGAAATAATGAGAGTTCATTTATTATGATTAATTAACCCTGTAGATCCTCAAACAATCGAAATATTTACAAAGTCAGATATTCACTAGAGTAGATAAAAGATTGTGATTATTTATATCAATTAGCCATGAGATAAAAAGTCAAATCATCTCGACTCTTTAAACTAATCCATATAACATCTATATAATATATACTATAAAGAGTAGAAACTTGGGATAAATCTGTATTATTCAAATATCGATCCCAAAGAAAATAAGAAAACAGAAGGCGAAACTTAAAAGGCACAGCCATTCCATCGTAGTACACGATGGCATGGTGTGCCTAGCTAGCTCGATCATATTGTACTACATATATCCGATCAAAACGATTAAGCACTCACTTCTTTTGGCTGAATCTTAATTAGACCCATATGGCATTAGCCTCAATAAGCAATGCTTTGAGCTTGCTTCTAACATTAAGACTCATCACCTCATTAGCACCACCAACCAGCTTCTTCCCTATGTAAACAACTGGTACACTTGGACTATACCCTAATTCCAATAACTCCCCTTCCACCTGTTCCCCATCCGATATTTCATCGAGCTCGTATACAGTTGGGTTGGCACCAAAGTTTCGTATCAGTGTCTTAATGGAGTGGCTTATGGAACACGATGTTTTGCTGAATATAACAAGTGGGTTTTCAGCCACCAAAGTCTTCACTATGCTCATTGCTAGCTATTAGGGTTTTGTTGTTTGAGTTCTTTGTTTTCCACCATGCTATATGCTATATATATATTGGTTTTTGATGACAATGGAGTTTTGAAGAGATTATATTCGAAAATCATGTGTAACAAGCACTTGGTTGAAAAGCGAAGTATCTTCTAGTACGATCGTGTAGGTTCTATAACAAGCACTTGGTTGAAATTCGCTTTATACCTTTATAGAAAGCATAAAAATCTCGTGTCCCGAACCCTAAACCCTAAACCATAAACTCTAAGTCAAACCATGTTCAATCATTCACGTAAACACGTTATTATTTTATTTGATGTAAATTTATTTGTGATCCTTTTATTCTTTTTCCTTGAAAAAAATATGACGTGTCTTCAAATGATTCATGGATAGAAATACGTATGAGATTTGGGGACAAATAGATTTTTATTATTTCTAAAATAAAAGTACCAAGAGGTCATGTGTTCAAATCCAAGGAGGAATAAAAATCCCCTTGTGGTCACGGAGGTTCAAATGCGGTGACTTCAGGCTATCTGCAAAGCATGTGGTTGTCTTGGAATTAGTCGACTCGCATAACGGGTTGGATATTATGCGAGTTGGATATTCAGGTTAATGAAAAAAAAGGGGCAAATGACCTTTTAGTTGATTTCATGAAAGTATGCATGCATGCATGCATGCATCAAAGTTAAAACACGTCTTTGTTTCCATGGAATCTTATCTTGAATTCTCGATGATTAGACTTATATCAGTCAAAAAGACACACTTGTCTCTTTAACGATTAGACTTAAACATTTAATTAAGTGCAACGAAATACCTAAAGAATAAGGTTAAAACCTATGTGAAACTCCGTTTTTCTTCTTAGGTTGTCTCCTGCTTATTCATTAAGACGGGTGACTTAACCATTTAACGTTTTCATTGGTTTGGATATGAGCTCGTTAGGCTGCTACAGTGAAAACCAATTTCTCTACATGAAAAAGATCGTTAAAAGATGATATAGTTCATTTTTTAAGTTTTTAAGGTTATTGTGTTTTAAAAAACGAATTCATTGAAAACGTATTGTACCAAAACTGAAGGAATTAAAACCGAAAAAGAAAAAAAGGGTGATTATTTGTTAATATGAAAAAGGGTAGATTTGAGTAAATAATTGGCTTAATATTCTAATTTCATATGAATCTAATTGTATGTGAATTGGATGCCATAATGATATATTAGTTTTTCATTTATAATCACATCACAAGGAGCTTAATGTTTAAGTATGTTCAATAAAGCATTTAGTGATATACATATATACAGGGAGCTTAATAAAACTTTAAAAAAAAATAAAAAATTAAGAAATATTTTGGTAGTCATTCATCTGGATGACATGTATATGTGCATACAAGTAATTGAAGTTATTTTTTGGTTTGTATGCACATGTACATGTTATGCACATAAGCATACCGAACAAATTGCTTAAAAATTATTTGTATGCATATGTGTATACGTTTAAGATGAAAGCTTATCAGAGTGTTTCTCAGTTTTTCAATTTTTTGTGATTTTTCCTTGAACCTGACCCTATATAAAGGAGTAGGTTCATACGGAAATAGTACCTGAATAAGAAAATGACTAAATTATGTCAAAATAACATGTGATTTTATATTAATGGTAAAAAAAAGGTGTGTAGATGACTTTGGCCGTGACCTTAGGTCATAGGTAAAAGTCGTGTGAATCACATGTGATTTTAGTATAGAATCACATGTGAATCGGTCATTTTCTTATTTAGGTATCATTCTTGTATGAATCCGACTCTCTCTGTATATGTGTGTGTGCTTGTTAATTGTCATCGAAGGCTTCTAGTATCTATATATTGATAACAATAAATATTTTTACGAATCGGGAAACTAATTCTTATAGTATGTAATTTCATCAAAATATGTATACCATCAAGTATCAATTAGTATATTTTATCAATGAATATATATATATATATATATATATATATATATAGTGTTTGTTTCAAATACAACCTGTAGTATTTGTACAACCAATGCAACCCAATAAATTGAGATATTTATGAAAATAATGAGAGTTCATTTATTATGATTTGAATATTTATGGAAGATAAATATGGTTCATTAATTATGATCAATACTTTATATTAGGAAACAATCAAAACTTTTACGAAATCACATATTAATCAAATGAAATGGACGGTTGAGTTTGAGTTGTATTGGTTGCACAAATGTCATGGGTTGTATAATAACCAACCTCTCTATATATATTCATTGATATATATATATATATATATATATATATATATTTATTCATTGATATTTGTATTATGTCAATGAGCATATTCATCAATTAATATACATCTGGATATCAAAATATTTGTGTTTCGAATTTGAATTAAGTTCTCTTTCTCCATATATTGCACCAAATGCCAATCTATCAAAGAGAATCAAAAGTGAAAAAGTTTGATGAAACAAAAGATAAAAAATATACTTCTATCGAGTCTTGGCATCTTTTCTGCAGATCATCATTTTGAGATTCGAACATCAGATTTTTCATTACAGTAATCAAATTTCAACCAATTTAATAATATCAATTAGAGTTGATAAGACGTAGAGAACTCACTTCAACGTGAATAAAACGAATTGCGGAAAGTTTTAACAGTTCTTGAAAAATTACTGAACAAGCCATCTATATTTACACTGTTAAATAAATTGTAGCTACTTGACTAAGTTCGACTTTGCTTCCCTTAAAACAAACTTCTCAAGGAAATTCCCCCTTTTTTACGGTTCTTTTTCTATCTTATATTCCCTAAGAATACCAACAAAATCACACATAATACAAATAATGAACAACTAGAAATAAAGCAGAGACATAAAGAATATACCAGAAACGACATGATATTATTTAAAAATAACTCTAGAAATTATAAACTTTTGTTCCCTTCGATTCTTCTCTTATAAATGTATAAAAAAGGAAACCCCTTTAACAAGCTTTCAAAGGATTCTGAGTAGTCGATAAATGGAAGGTGTATATGGGATTTTCAAATCTAATATTTATTAAAAATGAGATCGCTCATAGCAAGTCGGTGATAAGAGAAAACCTGGGAAGGAATCGGGTTTTCAGCATCTTTGGTGATGTTACCTACCAGATAAAAGGACTGCTAGGTGATCAAAATCGCTCAGGGAAGTTTTTTCCTCTTATTGTTTGTGTCAATACTCAACTTCGAGGTTGTTTGTTTACCTCTTAATAGTTCCATTAAGAGGCAACCTTTAAGTCGTTAAGAGGTAAATCTTGTTTGGCAAAATAAAAGTCTGCTTTTTAATGGTTGTAAAACCCTCTGAATGATTTTGTATTCTAGATCTCCCTTAACCATTAAGAGCCCTAATTTCATTGTACACAATTACCAAACAATTATATTTCATTTTGCACTATATCATAAGAGCCTCTTAATCATTCTGACCACTTAATTATTCTGCACCAAACCATTCAGCAATTACCAAACAGCCCCTTCGTCAGTCTGTTTGAACAACCTCCCAATAAGAAAATTTCAAGAAACTTATTTTCTTTTGACAAATAGGTAATTGATCTACATGGGTTACAATTCATACGAAATGGAGAACATGTGAAAAGGCCTACAAACAAACTCAAATTCAATAAAAAGTTTTAGGGGCTGTTTGGTAGTTGCTGAATGATTTGATGCATAATGATTAAGTTGTCAGAATGATTAAGAGACACCGATTCTTTGGTAATTGTTTACAATGAAATTAGGGTGCTGAATGGTCAATGGAGGTCCATGATGCAAAATCATTAAGAAGATTTTAGAACCATTAAGAGGCAGACTTTTTTTTTGCCAAACAAGATTCACCTCTTAACGATTCAAAGACTACCTCTTAATGGAACTATTAAGAGCTAAACAAACAACCCCTTAGTAGAGTATCAATGTGACTTTTAAAATTATAGAATAAATAATTGTGTGTCTTATATGAATTAACCAGTTACGAAAATATGTTAGAACGGAATTAAACTACCTAACAAGTTTTATCCTTGATTGTTAGGATGATGATAGACAATCCAACAAGTTTTGTCGTTAGTTGTTAGGACGAAACTGAACAATCTAATACATAGGACTCAAAAAGTAAATTGTCGTATTATTCTTTTTTCTACACATGGGAAAGTGTTTGATGGAAGAGTTATGAAGTGCCATAAAAATATGTTAACAAAATGATTAACTTTTCAAGTCCTGTGAGGTAATTCAACTTCGTTTTAACAGCTTAATGTTTCATAAGAATATAGTTTGTTAAGCTGGTTAACTTCGAATTAACAACTTCTTGTATTGCCTTATACAAAACATGCAATTGTTTACCTTATACACCAAAAAAAAACCCTCATTAAATGCTATATTTGAACAGTTAGGGGCTGTTTACCAAATTTTCTATTAAATCCTGTATGGATAAATTTATGTTGCTATTTACTTTTCTATTTGAATCAATAGTCTGAACAACAGAAATGACCAATTTACCCCTGAAGATGAACTACACGCTGTTTCATAAATTGTTGTTCATTTTTTAAGGCAAATGATATTTCTGAAAAATAAAACATTTAAATATCAAAACATAAATTTAAAAATTTATTTATATCATCTAAAGATCAAGACATAAATTCATTGATATCATCCAAAAATTAAAACATAAATTCATAAAATACTTAAAAATCCAAGTTCAAACACAAAGTAGCCAAGTTCAAATCCAAGTTCAAACACAAAAATCCAAGCTCAAACATTATTGACCAAACTATTTGCAATTTCATCTCTTAGAGTAGCCATATATTGAGTGCTATTAGCACCTCATTGGGAAATGTCCAGTTCTTCTTTTCCATTTCCTTCGACTTCTTCTTCGTTGTTAAATATATTATCCTCATTGCACTCCATAAACAACTGGTCTTGAATATTATATTTTTCGATGAAATTATGTATCACAAAGCAAGCAATTGCCACATTTCCTTGTGTTGTAAATGGAAAGGGAGCCATCTGCTTAAGATCGGAAATCTCGCTTTCAAGACACTGTAAGCACGTCCAATAATATTCCTGAGTTGGGCATGTGCATGATTAAACCTTTCTTCTTTAGTCAAAGCACGTCGACGTCGAAAATCTGCCAACCAATATCTTATGTTACGATATGGAGCCAAAAATCCACGAGCATTGGCGTACGCAGCATCACAAAGATAATATTTATCTGAAAAACCACCCACATCAATCGTATAATATACAAAGCAAAAAAACAAATTACAAATTGAGAATGGTTTATATCTTGTGGTGGAAAGGGAAAACCAGATCTTGGGTTAAAAGCAATTTCCCTAAGTATTCTAGAATCATGTGTTATACCTTCCCATCCAACCTAATCAAAAGTGAATATCATGTTGAAATCACAAATTCCTAGAACATTTTGATAACATCGACCACATCCTCTTCCCGTGTAAGCAGCTTGATGACTAGCTGGCACAATTGCATGTATGAGGGTACCGTCTAGAGCACCTATTGCACCTTTCATTAATAGAAAAAAGATTAAATACATGTATATGTGTGTGTGTATTTATATAAAACTTTAAAACGTCAATAATAAATCTTACCTGAAATATTTCTCTAAAACGTCTTTGATGACTAGACGTATTTAAAGTTGTAACAGAAGTTATTGGCACCACTATTTCTCTTGCGAATTCCATCATACCCAGTAAAACTTCATGGAAACAAACATGAACAGTTCTTGTAGAGCGTTGAAATCTACGTTTAATCACTCTGTAACACTTTTTTGTTATTGGGTTTCACCCGTTTGTTTCTTACCTATAACGAACATTCGAGCTAATAAACAAGGAAAAGACATGATAAACCCAAATTGAACCAACTATTGAACCAATTGTTTTAAAAAATAGATATTGAGCAACAAACACAACAATCAATCAACATCAGCTATGAGATTAGTTTTAGCAAAAAAACTACTTATAAACTAGCTTATAGGATTCATAATGTATGGTTTAACAACAACAATCAATCAACAGCAGCCATGTATTTTCAGAACAAGAAATGAGAACCAAAAAACGCAAACAACAGCTACGGTAGCGCAACAAACACAAAATAGAGCAGCTACGGTAGCAGCAAACAACAGCTATGGTAGTAGCAAACACATAAAAATTAACAAGAAATGAGACACCATACAACAGCTACGGTAGCATAAGGAATGAGACACCATACAACAACTACGGTAGCAGCAAACAACAACTACGGTAGCAGCAAACACAAAATAATTAACAGGCCCTAAGGTAGCAGAAATATAAACTATTTGCCATCAATCAACAGCAGCTACTGTAGCAGCAAACACAAGCAAACATGAAATATATTAAATGTAAAGCTCACAATAGCAAGAAACGATTAGGGTTCTTTAGAGGAGAAGTATAGTAGTTACCTTTGAAGAAGAAGAGGGCGTCGATCGATGGAGAAGAGAGCAATCAACCGATTAGGGTTCTTTGCAGGAGAAGAGGGCCGTCGATCGATGGAAAAGAGACCGTCGATCGATGGAGAAGAGACCGTCAATTAGGGTTCTTTGGATCGATTAGGGTTCTTTGTGTATCCGATGGAGAAGAGACCGTCGATCTAGGGTGTTTTCTTGAGAGAGGCGCGAGTATAATATAAGGGCAGGGATAGTCGTTTGACTTGGCTTAACCTGGACAACTCAAAATTTTCATTTGGGCAAATAAGCCCATTTCTGAGCAAATAAGCCCGAGGTAAACATGCTATTTTGTTTGTCCGAATAAGCCAATTTATCCATTAAGCTCATTAAGCTTCAAGTAAACAGGCCCTTAGACGTCCTAACAAATACATTTTGTTGCATTGAGGAGTGTGTCATGATAGATACACACATCTAAGATATACATAAGATGTAGATAGATTTAAACGAAAACGAAAACGAAAACGAAAACAAAATAAGATAATACGAAAACAGTCAAACCAGTGTAAAATCACATGGGCAATGTAAGGGTGTGCGGATGACGTGAATCACGACCTCAAGTCACAGCCAAAGTCGCGTGAATCACATGTGATTCGACCGTTTTCTTATTCTCTTATTTAGTTACTTTTCTCGTATGAAACTGATTCTAAGGCATAAAGCCATAAACCCTCATAAATTAGTGCAACAACTGTTTACATGTTCCTTGAAATCTAATTATTTTAAATCTAACAAAATTCTAAAAAAATAATAATTGAATTTGTTAAATACCTCAAAACTAATTATTAAACTTTAAAACATTACAATAATCAAGCTCACAACACAACACAACACAACACAACACATCCCCCTACCCTCCAAATAAAAATATTATTTGGTATTGGTTTTCAATATTAAGGGACTTAATAAGGGTACACAAAATCCTAGAGGGTCTATTTGTTAATCACCATAATATCAGGGATGTTTTATGAATATAAACTAAACATAAGAGGCTCAAGTAAAAATATTAATCTTCTCGGTTTTTTCTCTGTATTCGCGCAGCCTTAATGCCGACAGTTTGTCATCGAACTTTCCATCACTCGTTCAACGCAATTCTTCCTCTGTTCCATTCAAATAATTGGTAATCACATCTGCATCAACGACGAAAAGGGCGACATTTGAAGCTGCATATTTTCAACTGTTCTCTCATCGTGCATTGGATTTGTTATTGGTGCAAGATTGTTTCAATTGAAGAATTCGGTTAACAGTAGTTTTTTCTCTGATTGGGTTGCAATAAATTGTCTTACGGTTAGTGGGTTTTGATTTTTTTGGGGTAAAAATGGAGTCAGTACCACCGATTAGGTTTACGCTTGGGAGACAGTCGTCAATGGCGCCGGACCGGGGCTCGGGTTCTGATTCGGAAGATGAAGAGATTGATGGGCTGGATGCGATTGATCCTAGGGTTAGGCTAATGTTTTTTTCAAGTGAGGGTAATTTGGATGGGATTAAGGAGCTGTTGGATTCAGGAACTGATGTTAATTTTAAAGATATCGATAATCGGACTGCGTTGCATGTGGCGGCTTGCCAAGGGTTCTGTGATGTTGCCGAGTTGTTGTTGGAAGGAGGTGCGGAAGTTGATCCCAAAGATCGATGGGGTAGCACGGTAAGATTTTAACACTTTCTTTGTTTCTCTTTTGCAATTTAATCAATGATTTCTTGGTTACATTGATCATGATAATTGTGAATTTGTGGTAAATGGGGAACGGGAGATAGGGACTCAGGATCATTGATCATAGATTTAACGTTGATGACGGTACATTTTTTCGATCAAGTATGCAAAAGATTTATCAATTTGCTTTGAGTTGTTGCCATAGATTTGCCCTTTTATGTATGCCTAATGGCTATTGCCTTCTGGGATTTGCTGGATGAAGGAATTATACACAATGTTGGTGTATCGAAACTACACCTTGGAAATTCTGTTTTGATATATTATAGGTTGGTTTTGAGAAGCTATAAATTTGCCGAATATCTTATGTCAATATCTAACATACATCACCAATGATGTGTCTTATTGGAATATCATTGAATACCTTGATACCGTGCTATTTCATATACATAGCGAAAATTTAGCTTTTAAACTGGAAAAATGGAACCTATTAAGCTAAAATACGAAGTTGGATCTTATTGATATGGTATGGTACAATCTCATGTTGTACATGAATCATGTTCATTAGAGCATTGAAAATTTCATCTTGAAACAGTAGATTTTGTATATGTTGAATTTGGTAGAAAGACGAGGGATATGTTTTATGCTTGTTTCCTTCCTTTTATTTCTCCTTTGTTTAAGGGATAAGATTATGGTAGTGACTTAGTGTTAGCTATATAAACCCATGTAAATGACAAAATAGATCCAAAATAGAAGTATTATTTGTTCATGGTATTAGAGCTTTGATTGCTCTTCTCTACATCACCAGCCTTTCACCATTGTTGGCCATCTCACCCTTGATGGAATCTACAACTCAGTCAAAAACGCTAGCCGTTGTCCGTTTTTAGGATTGGCTAAAACTCTAGTCGCAGAAAGGTGTTATTAACTTATTATTTCCGAAAGGAAATACATACTTGATCTACCAAAAGAAACATGAATGCTCTCATAGAACCTCCAAGTTGGACTTAGAGAACCAAAAATGAACAAGTGCCAGAGGGAGATATTAAACCCTAATTGGGCATCTCACTAATCTTGCTTACAAAAAACCTGATATTGGGTGTGTGGTCAGTGTTGCTAGCCACTTTATGCATAACCCAATCCCAGATCACTTCACAACAATATGCAAGATTTTACGGTATTTGAAAATGACACGTAGGAAGGGATTATTCTTTAGAGAAACAGAAAACAGAACTTTGGGATATGCTTAGATGCAGACTGGGTTGGAAATGTAAATGGCAACTGATTAACTTCCAGGTATTGCTCTTTTATGCGGGGAAACTTGGTCACTTGGAGGAGTAAGAAAGGGTTGGTAGTATCAAAATAAGTGCTGAGGCATACTATAGAGGGTTGGCTCAAGGAATTCATGAAGGATACAAATCAAACGAGTTCTGTATGAGCTCGGTCAACACCTTACCTTTGATATTCAAATGATGTGAATAAGGCAACTATTACGTTGCTAAAAGTCCAATTCATCATGATAGGACTAAGCATGTTGAAATCGATCGACATTTCATTACTAAGAAGGTGACAAGTGAAGTGGTGAAATTAGATCTCACCAACTAGGGGTGCAGATGATGTGAGTCTAGCTCACATGATCAATATACTCGACTCAAACTCGAACTAGATAGCCATTTTCAAGCTCGAACTGGACTTGAGAACTCGTGACTCGTGAGTAGCAAAAAACTCAGACTCGAATTTGGAAGCAATTTGCTAAATTCGAACTCGTTTGAAGCTCAAATCAAGCTCGATCTAGAGCAAGCTCGAACTCGTTTAATGCATAACAATATTAAAATTTTGAAATAAATTCAAAATACATATAAAATAAATCCAGGAAATTAAAAAGTTTACGACAAAATTCAAAATAAATCCATAAAACTAATGCTTGCAACCAAAATCGAAACGAAGTCGAGAAAATTACAAGATTATAACCAAGTGTATCCATGAACAAAACAAAATACAAGTTAAACATGATCTCATTTCAATTCAATTTGCTGGTTCCGATAATGGAATGAAAATTTCCTTTTGTTGTTTCTCATTCTCCTACAATAAAAACAATTTTTTTTGTATATGTATAAAAATGAAGATAAACAACTAAAACATATTTAGACATTTACCTTATACTTCTTTTTTAGTCCATGGAGGGATCTACATCAATCACCCTTAGCACTGTTTTAGGCGAAAGAGAAGCTCTATAAGGATTTATTTACGCGACTATCAACATAAAAGTTGCCCCTGAAGCCATAGTAGTGATAGGAACATCCGAGATTTTTACAACCATCCTAGACAAAACTTGAAACTTGTTTGATTGTTTCTTCCACCAAGCTAAGACATCAAATTTGTAATCTTGACTGAAGACACACCCCTCATGAAAAATACATGTCAAGCTCATATTTCACACAAGGTATCAATGTTTCCTACTGAAAACATCCGACAAAAGTTCAATTAAACCACCAGATCCATCATTTCCTTCACGAGCATTTGATCCAAATTCACATTCCTCACTTTCGTCCACAATAGAAGAAGAATACATCCTCACATATTCATCAAAAAGCTAACCTCGTTGACTTTAGTAATACTAATATTTTCCCGAGCTAAATTTGGAGGAAACATTTTTGGGCATGCAATCTCTACAACCCTCATTTTCAATTTAGGGTCCAAAACGGTCCCATTTGACATCAACATGTTGCATTGCCCCCATTATTTGTCAAATCTCTCTTTCATGTTCTTTACCATACTTTTAACAAAATCATCTTAAGACTGAGATTGTTTATCCAACTTAACTTTAATCCTTTATACCTCATCAATAAACAAGTTATAAGTTGGATATTCAAAACTGAATGTTGAGTTGCTAGTGTCTTTAAACATTTTCAATGTATCAACAATTTTGCAATTTTATTCCACTCCTCTTCATCAAGACAAGCATCATAATTATGGTCATGCAAAGCATATTGAGAATATACTTGTCTAAACTTGATGGTGCAAACTAGCATGTCATATGTTGAATTCCAACGTGTCTTGCATTAAAGAAGTAACTTTTGATGCTTCACGACCAAAACGTTTGAGACACACATGACTGTAGTTTAAGAAATCAACAGGATCGTGGACTTCTTGATAATGTGCTTCACTTGTTGAAGGCCATGTTGAGCCATAATGTTAAGAATGTAGGCACAACAACGGATGTGAAACAATCTTTCACCTCAAATAAGCCTACCATTTGATTCAAAATTATCCTCCAAAATTGTAATACAAGAATCATTTGCAGATGCATCATCCACGAAAATTGTGAAAACTTAACATAAATACAATGATTATGCTTTATTAGTTCATAAATCATAAATAAAATAGAACACATATATACAAATATAGTAAACAAATCATAACTTACTTTGTCCTCAATTTCCCACTCCCTTCGGCATGGTAAGATGCAATCAACTATGTTTGCACCTTTATATGGAGGAGACAAACGATCAAAGTTAATCACCCTCTTTTAGAGCTTCCAATCAAGATCCACAAAACGAGTAGTAAGCACCATGTATTCAATTTTTTGTGGCTTTGACTTCCACAAATTCGTAGTCAAACTTATTTGTTTCACTTTCTTGAACAAATCTTATAGTTTTTTCCTTCTCAAACTCATAGACTTTGAAAGAGTCTGCTTGAATGGTAACTCGGGATACATGGTTTCATTTGGGTATTCCTCAACAGTACTGAAGGATGCTCATGCATAGTGATCCAATGGGCTATCCCCTCTCGCATCTTTAACATGTCAAGTTTACCATTATGTAAAACACATAACCGATCCAAATTGATTTGTGTCCGCCTTGAATCAGATGGCAACAAATTAATCATTTTTTGTTGCTCACATGCTTCACTTTCAACATACAAGATTCCAAGTGTCGGTGCATATGGGTAGTGCTCTTAAATTTCAAAAGAGAAAGGGACTTTTACAATACTTACACCTTACTTTCCATTGACCTTTTATCTTTTCAGGTTCAAGAAATTCATCCCCCACTTTTGATCTTCTTGGTCTCGTAGAGTTTTGAAAAGAGATCAATATCATCTTCAACTTCTTTATTTGTGGTGTTAAAAGGGGGGGGGGAGGGATTCAAAAGGTTCTTCATTAACCTCCATAGATACATCCTCCCCATCATTTAATTCATCATCAACATTCACATACAACTCCTCATCTCTTGAAACACCAACTGGCGTAGAAGATTCTTGTGGCTGATTAGACATCTCTAGAAATATAAATGCATTTTTAAATAAACTTAAACTCCAAACAAAAAAAATTATATAATCCCAAAACAGAAACATTGTAAGCCAAAATGCGAAACAAATTTTACCATATTCAGAAACAGAAACAGAAACAGAAACATTATAAACAAATTAATTAGATTCCAACTAAAAGCTAAAAACTAAAAATAGTAAGTAAAATGACTTGGCAAATGTGCAGATTTTGAGAAAATAAAAAGCAAGTAAAATGACTAAAAATAGTAGATTTTGAGAAGATAGAAAACAATAAATACAAAGAAGATTTAGTTAAGAGCACTGACATAAAAAACCAAAGGTTTATCGGCAAAATAGTTTCGCTTAAAAGGCATGAGCTTGTAGAGTGTAGATAAAAAAATATCGGTTGATGAATACCTCCACCACCACCAGACCTTGCAGCTGTAAGTTCGAATTTTTTTTGGATCAATTACTACATTGACCTCTTCGGCCTGAAACCAGAATGGTATCAAATATGGAAAAAAGAAACAGTATGTTCATGATATATCAGCGAAAATTACAGCACAATGACAACAAGGTACCGTTCTACGAAAAAAGGTGTACATGGACATCGTGTTACCTTCTATCAGCAGTGGTGGTCGGTGCGCGTCGGCGTCGAGATGAGGAACGGCGGTTGATTCAGAGATAACGAAAGAAATCATGGAAGACTCGTGGCTTGCGAGACGATCGATGGTTGATTTCTTGCAATTAGACTGGATCGCTGGAATTTTCAATTTTTGGGATTGTGGGAGAGAGAGGCGTTAGCTGTGGTAGCATGAGCAGGAAGAACTAGGATTTGGGAATTGGGACATTTGGGTTACCAATTACAAATTTATATTTTTCTTAGCTTTGTGAGAAGCAACTTGTTAAATTTATAATGCTTTGAAAATTTTAAAATTGGTTGTTTTTTATTTTAAGTTTCCAATTTTAATTTATTATCTTACTATTGATATTTTATATTAACTTAGTTGTTATTAATCTTTTACATTATATTTTACAAATTATATTATAAAACTAACTATATTTAAAATAAATTCGAGTATCCCACGAGCTTATCGAGTTTGAGTATCGGGTAGCTCGACTCGACTTGTTAGTATGTCCAATCGAGCCTACTCGAGTCGAGTGTTGACCGAGTCGATCTTGGGTAGCTCGCTAGCTGTCTCATCTCATTTTTCCCCTAGTCAAAACTAAACAACAAACTGCATACATCCTCACTAAAAGCACTACCAAGATCTTACTTTGAAGACCTCATATTGAAGCCGAGACTGGCATATACTCTCTCTAGCTTGAGGGAGTGCCAAATTCGGTAGAAAAATAGAGATTTATTTTACGCTTATTTCCTTCCTTCTATTCCTCTTCTATTTTAGGAATGGATTATGTTAATGTTAGCTATATAAACCCGTGTTGTATATGACAAAATAGATGAGAAATAGAAGAATTAATTATTTCTTCAGTATGGTCATGAAGAATAACTTCAAATTGGGTGGAAGAGAAAGATGTAGAAGAAGACGATGATAAAACTGAAGCTTCTGTGACATCCTGCTTTTTGCATTTTTCTCTTTATCCTCTCTCTTTGCTTTTTTTTTTCTTTCTTTTCATTATTATTTTTAGTTGATCAAAATTAACTAAATCCTTTCCCTGTGTGAATTGGTTTTTATCTTAGAAAGATTGCATATAGTCCCTAAATAACAGTTTAATACTAGATGAACTCTGTAAATTTGATATTTTAGTTTTTTTAATAGTTGATCATAGTTAACTAAAGTACTAAACCCTTTCCCTGTTTTAATTGATTTTTATTTTAGAAAGATTGCATGATGTCCCCTAAATAACAGTTTAGTACTAAGATGAAATGTGGAAATTTCTTTTTATTTGATCAAAATTAACTGAGCCCTTTTCCTGTTTTAATTGTTTTATTTTATTTTAGAAAGCTTGCATAAAGTCCCACAAATAACAACTTAGTACTAGATTTTTTCAAACTCATAGTATGGCTATAAAACTTTTCTATTGTGCATCTTAATCTTATTATACATATTTGTTGGTGTTTGTATTATAGAAAAAGATTCACAATGTGATATACGAAAATGAAGTATATAGTATTTATATACCTCAAATACTCATGCACACTCTTCACCTTTGGTGAGGTTTTAACCCATGACCTCTTGGGAGGCTGGACTCTACAGGTAACCAGGGTACCAAAGACCCTTTGGTGATAAACAACTGTAGTATGGGGTTTTACATGATTTTAACGCTTGTATTTCAAAAAACTAATGGTTATATCCAGTGCCTTGGTTGCTCGCTCAGAAAAATGAATTGGTTTCTAATCAACCATTCGTTTGATCACACGACAGAAGTTCCTAACTGATACCAGCATTAACAATAGATACTTCATACACCAATGCGTAGGTGCCGGAATATGAACATATTCGGAAATGGCCCACTAATATGCTGTCTAAATTACATGGTCTATGACTCTGCTGTTCCTAAATAAAGATCAAATAAGAAATAGAAAAATAATAATTCAGAAAAGAAGGTGAATGCAATGTTTTCTCTTTGTTTTCACCATTCTTGCGGACTTACCATCTCTAAGATACCAAAAAGAATAATAGCTGCATAGTTCTTAAAAGCTTCCCCATCATACCCTCTCCTTCATATTATCATGTAATTGTTGATGGTTCTTTTCTTCTCCTTTAGTCCTTGCGTCTTATTAATGATTGCACATCTTTGGCCATTTGAGAACGTCTCTGCTCCCTATGGTTAGTTTTATCATGCTTCTATCGTTTAAGCCTGTCTTGTTATAGTTTTGAAATCCAAAAGAGCATTAAAAGCTTTAAAGCTAGTAAAACTTCGCAAGAAGAAGAAATGTATATTTACACTCTTATACTTTCGAAGGGAGAGAAAAAGTGTCTCAACTGTTTATATTCTGTCTCTTGATGTTTGTCTTCATCGTAGACTTCACCTTGACTTCTTGCCGTTGAATCTTATATTTGCTTGAGCAGCCTCTGGCAGATGCAATCCATTACAAGAACTATGACATGATCAAACTCTTGGAGAAACATGGTGCCAAACCTCTGGTAAGTTCTTATGCTTGTTGTGTGTTATATAAACTTCTAACTGTTAGTTATAATTCACTCTCTTTTATGCCACCTGTATATAGTTAAAATTTTCTATTTTACTATTTGGCAACAAGGGGAAGTCTTTTATCACAAAATAGTTTTCTCAATGATATTCCACGATCAATACAATTGGCTGAATCCCGTGAAAAAGGCAAATCTCTTATGATACACCAGATCCGGCTCTGGGGTGGGCTGAAAATGAAACCAAAAAAGAAATTAGAAAATGGTGAAAACCAAAAGCAAACTCTATTCTTACAATCGGGGGGGGGGGGGTGTTCTAATGGTTTTTTTTGGTTGTTTCTCTCTCTTTTTTTTAATGTTATATATGCTTAGATGGCTCCTATGCACGTAAAAAATGCCCGCGAAGTTCCGGAATATGAAATCGCTGCTGAAGAACTTGATTTCACAGACAGCGTTGACATTACTAAGGCAAGTGATCTACGATTTTGTTAATTTTGCTTTAATTGATAATTATATACCCAGTGTATTTTCAGCATCTGAAAACTGTTCTTAATAATTATGACCAAATTTTATGGTGATGTTCTTTCCACTCTAGCATCCTTTCTATTTCGTGGATTTGCTTTTTCTTTGTTCTTAATGCCTTGTGGGCTGTTTGTTTTTTTTCCCTATGAGCTTATTGGTTTCTTCGCTAAACCATTACCGGTGTTTGTTTTTTTTACTTAATTTAATTATGTAAGGCACCCATGTATCTGGTCCAAATTCAGCTATCTAATTCGAGACATCTCTTAATAGGTTAAAAAGAAACACCCGTTAGATTCACTACCCAAATGAAAAATATGCAACATTATGGACCATTCGTTTGTATATTTGTTGTGGCCATGCTTTTAAAAATCAGTTAACCCATACGCCTAGAGGCGATCAAGGTCTATGCTTCTGCCGGTGGAATTGGAGGTGTATGCCTCCCACGGATGAGGCATTCATTGAGGCGTACGAAGGCATGAAATTCCATCGAGGCGTATGTGCTGTATTCTGCTCTTTGTTTTATTAATGACACCCTAAAATTGGTCTCTTTCCCTCTTCTCCTCATTCATGCATGTATTCTCCTCCCTCCCTTAGTACATCCGACCCTACCCCCCAAAAACCGACCTTCAAGATCAACAAATGCTTTTTTTGCTTGTTCTGATCTCTCAAACCGCACAAAGATTCTAAGAAATATTCTAACAGCTTCATCAATTGGATAGTTAATGAATTTAGTTTATGTTTTAATGCTTATAACTAGTAATTTTATGACTTACATAGTTAATTATGTGACAAATATTTTGTTTCAGTTATTGCAGTTGTACCAAGTCCGTTGTCAAACATTCTTTTATTGAGGTCATTGCTTGTGGTTAGTCAAACGTGACTTCTGAAATTAATCGACTCCATGCAAAACTTGTTATCATACTTGTTGACTCAACAGTAAATCAAAATTTTCTAGTCAGGGGATAGTAAGTAACTTGGTTAAACTCACCCACATATGGTTAGTTTTGATGTTGACCAACTCGTTTTTCTGAACAACAAATACTTGAATCCTTTTTGGAAGAATATGAATATTCTGCATTGATCTATTACCTTGTTGCATGTGCATATACAAAAGATCCTATAAAATTACTTATCTACCTACGAAGGGTGGTTTACGGGTAAAATTATATAATGTTTACGTACTTGAGGATTAACTGTTCAAGTTATATTTTCAGCGTGTCACCAAACAACATTTAAAATTATATAATGTTATATGTACTTGAGGATTAACTGTTGACATCTACTGGTACATGATGAATTATTCAAGTTGTATTTGTTGGAAAAGGTGTCCAAAACTATTTATTTTATAAAAAGAAGTGATGTAGACCTTTTCTTTGGAATATACGGTTTTTTTGGAGCTCTAGAACTAGGGCAACTCAATCTGCTGTTTGGCATAGCTGATCTGATCATGCTATCCTGACAATTGTTGTTTTTTTTTTATCATGTTGTATATGTTCCTCTGCTGAATGTGCGTTGGAACTTTCCAGGGTACCTTCACCATAGCTTCGTGGCGTGGAACTAAAGTTGCAGTTAAAAAGCTTGGAGATGAACTTTTTACCGATAAGGACAAAGTGTGGGTTGTTCATTTACCAACAATATGTTATGTGATTTTTAACTTAATAGAGTTATCTGCTTTTCTAATCCGCGGGTTATCAACAGGAGGGCTTTTAGGGATGAGCTCGAATTACTTCAGAAGATACGACATCCAAATGTGGTTCAGTTTCTGGGTGCTGTAACCCAAAGTAGTCCAATGATGATCGTGACAGAATATTTACCAAAGGTTTACCTTTCCCTAATCGTAAACCAAGGCCATTACTTTCCAACTTAATTCCCTTTTTTGACGTTCTTTCTTAGAGTGTTTATATAGAAAAATAATAATTGTCTACAGCTATTTTCTTTCCGTAGTTGTGTTCTTCAACTAGGTGTTGAGCTTACTAATAGGCTCCATAATGCATACATAATTACATATCGTCTTCATTTATATCAATTTTTGCATATACTGCAGGGTGATCTTCGTCCTTATTTGAAGAGGAAAGGGGCACTAAAGCCATTCACAGCTGTGAAATATGCCATGGATATAGCAAGGTACTTGTCCTTTTCCATGTTTGCTAAAATAAACACTGATTAGATTATCCAGTCCTTTATCAATGTCTTACTTTAACTATCCCTTTGTTTTTATCTACATAGTAATACGTTTTTCAGTACTTAATCGTTTCCGAACACAATTAAAATTGAAACTATGCATTCTTCTCCTTCCCATTTTCATGAGATTGGATGTTACTTGGCGGCATTTATGTGGACTACACAACATATATCTTTGAAGCAATGCCATTTTCTTAATGATGCCAACCTTTTAAGGTGTGGTAAGTGGTTTTGGGGATGCCTTGTTTGTGACAAAATGCAAGAGTTTTCCTTCGTATGTAATTTGTATATCAGCCAGAGGATAGAGTGAGAATCAAACATTATTCCGTTTGGGGTTTCCCATTTAGAACAGCAATGACAACTCTGGTTAGCTTGTGTAACTGAAAACTTCATCTGATACGTATTTCATAAGCAAACTTAATATTCCCATCAATTCTGGTACCAAGTGCTTACCAGTTATACCTAGATCTTGTTATTTTATGAACCAGTATCATCCTTTGAACCCAATGGAAACACGATAACAGTTGGCTTTCCCATCCCACTTCTGGTGGTTTCTGCTTAGGGGGTGTCTGGTTGGTTTCTATTAAGTCCTGTATGCATAAAATTGTCTGTGTGGTTTAATCTGGCTGTATTGATTGGAAAGGGTTTTTTTGGAGGGTCTTTTCGTAGATGGAAGTAGCATGTTTTAATTGGGAGGGGTAAGTTTGGAAAAATCTTGGCTTTCTGCAGAAAGCTCCTCCAGAAGCTTACTTAATAAGCCACTTTCTATATCATTAAGCCACTACCAAACAGTCATATATAGCTGACTGAATAAGCTGTGAGTCCATCAAGCTCATTAAGCTGCTAACAAACAGGCCCTTACTCTGCTTTAAGATGCTTACATCTCACAGCTTGGTATAGGACTTCTGCTTTACTCATATTGGAAACTATACTTCTTTAAGAAATGTACTATTAACCAGGGGTATCAACATGCAGTACCAAGACTGTACTTCTTTTCACCACTGGACTTTTGAAATCTGGTCCTCCTGGGCACTTAGGCTCTTTTTCATCATCAGGGGCTACATACAAAAACTTGCTATTGGTTTTCTAATTAACATTTAAATGAATGTTAATGTAGTCATTTCCTTTGCGTCAATTACACACTAATGTTTTCATCAAACATTGTTCCTCACAATTCTTTTCATTGGAAAACCAGCTCTCCTTAAGTGATAAAAAACAAGGCCAAAAGAAAAGGGGAGAGAGAACTCAGCAAGAAGTTAGAACTTCATACGGTTGTATCTGATATATTGTTGTTATAAATGACTTCTTTAGAAACAGCAAAAAGTTCTATCACACTGAATTGTTGACGGAGAATTATCATGCATTGCTTATATTCATGGTGAAATGATTGACTTCTCATACTGCATCAGTTTTCATGCATTATCGTATCTTGTTTTTTCTTGTTCATGCAAGATAGCACTTTTGGAACTACAAAAATTGTAATAATGGAAATAACACCCATGATTAGAAGTTATGTGTGGCATACACATGTTTTATATTTAGCATTTTCTTTTAAAAATGACGATAGAAGTCGCATGTAAAAGTATATAGTGGGTCTTTTCATAATTGAAGATCCAGAAAAAGATCCAACCAAGATTAAAGGTTTATTTTTAGTTTAGAGTAAATTACGTTTTTTGTCTTTATCGTTTGTATAAAATTGTACTTTCGTTCATGTAGTTTTGAATTACGGTTTTCGTCCGTGTGGTTTGCAATTCATTGCTATTTTCATCTCTAAGGCGAACTCCCACCTTTAAGTATGAGGGACGGAAACAACAATGAATTGTAAACGACAAGGACGAAAACAACAATAAATTGTAATTTGTAACCCATAAGGTCGAAAACAACGATGAATTGTAAACCATAGGGATGAAAATAGTAATTTCAAAAGTATAAAGACGAAAGTAGCAATTTTCAACAAACCACAGGGACAAAAAAAAGTAATTTACTCTTTAGTTTGTTTTGGGTGCCTTTCATGCTCATGAGAAGTTGAACTTGCCAAGCACCAAATTTTGATATGATCTGTAATACGATACTGACTGGAAGTCTTAATTGGTGTTTTTATTGGTATTGTTTAGGGGGATGAACTATTTGCATGAGAATAAACCAGAACCAATTATTCACAGGGATCTAGAGCCTTCGTAAGTTCTGCTACAAAGTTGATGTACCTGCCTTCTATATTCTTACTTAATGTCTGATAGCATTAGCATGAGAAAAATATTGCAGTCTGTTTCTTCTTAATTTTGTTGAATTCTTTCATTTTTTTTATGCGAGTAAGAAAACAGGAACATTTTGCGGGCTGATTCTGGACATCTAAAAGTCGCAGACTTTGGAATCAGTGAGCTGGTGAAAGTGACGGAGAAAGTCAAAAAGGAAAAGCTCATGTCTTATAGTGACACTACCTGTGAGTGTTACTTTGTAGATTGTACTGATACCCTTAAACCATGCTTACATAATGTGATGAAGCTAAAGTGTCTCTGTGAATATATAGACTGCATTAACAATTACCTGATGATTCAAATGTGAGGAAGGCATAATATGACTCACTAATATCAAATATATATGACATACTTCCAATGATAGATGAAGTGCTCACGATTGAGTAGCCTTATTACCAAAAATGTTTTAAAGTCTAGATCTTTCTTTTGACTTTAAGATTGTTAATCCCTGTTGAGTTATTAACAGTAATTAGGATGTCATCCATGTAGACCGATCATGAGACTTGTCTACCACTTTTACTTTGGAAGAACACCTAATGACAAACAACTCCTGATCATTGTATCATGCCATGCTTCTCAAGAACTAGAGAGAAACGGGAAAACCATGTGTTGCTGCTTAAGGCCGTATGAACTGACAACAAACCTTCGAGCCTCATCCTGAACAATAAACCCACAAGTTGCTTGGTGTCTGTTTATTTGCAGCTTAACGAGCTTAATGGGAATCATAGCTTATTTGGTCAGTTATAGGTAACCGTTTGGTAGTGGCTTAATGATATAGAAAGTGGCTTATTCAGTAAGCTTCTAGGGGGAGCTTTATGCAGAAAGCCAAGTTTTATCCAAACCTGCCCCTTCCACTTAAAAAACATACTCCTACCAATGAAAGATCCTCCCAAACAAAAACTTCCCCAATCTATACAGACAGATTAATCCACATAGATAACTTTATCCATATAGGACTTAATGGAAAACTAACCAAACAGCCCCTTAATATCAGCATCCTCCTAAAGGATTCAGTAGAAAATCAGAAGTAACAAATGACTGCTAACCCCAGAAGTTAGTAGATTTAGATACTTCCCTAGAGGGGCCCTAACGGATAAGATTTGCACAACAAATCATTAGCACCCAGTTATAACTTCTTAGATTTGCAAAATATAGTTTTCCCAGTCAACTGCAGATGTCATGGATGCTAATCATTCAAGTAATGCGGTGTCCAATAATCTTCCAAAGGCTGCATTCTTTCGTAACCTTAGTTGGAGGATCATCAGTCAAGTGTCAACAAGCCAAGTATATATATATATATATATGTATATGTATATGTATATATTGATATGTTTATATATTATAAGGGGACCACTCTATCCAGTGTGCTTTATTAAGCCTGATAGAAGATTAGAAGGTTTAGAAAGAACAAATGAAACAGATCCAACACAGATGAATTATGCTTATTCTTACCCTTAATTAACATTCTTAGGGGCCGTTTACCTAAACACTTATCCGGTAAGCACTTATCGGTAAAATTCAACACTATCGATTACTTACCGGGTAAAATTTTATTCACTAAAATGCATCGTATGCAACAATTTATCCCGGTAAGCGCTAACCATGGTAAGAGTCGTCATCCTTACTTACCAGGTAAGACTCTCGATTCTTGCCTTCGCTCTTACCGGGTAAGATTCTTAGTCCTTGACATATTCATCCGTTAAAGTAAAGTGACTTGGTAAGTGCTTACTCGGGTAAGCGTTTGGTAAACGGCACCTTAGACTAATCCAGATAGGAAGGGTGGCGACCAACATTCTAGTCCGACAAAGAATGAATGATTCGGATAATCAAACGAGCATCCGAACAAACCCATGGCTTGACCAACCCAGTAAGATGATAGGAAAACCGAAATTGCAGGGAACAACAGGAGAAAATTAAATATGAATCTGTTGCCATATCAAAGTTTACTACGGTGGTTGGAGATGGCTGAAGTAGAGCGGTGAAGATCTTCTGCTCTAAATGCATATTGTATATTACTGATTAAACTATGTATGTACTATATACATATGAGCTTTTGGCTCGAGATACGAAACTACAAGGAAAAATAAACTGCTACCTAGTACCTACAACCAACACTCTTAACCGTTTGCAAACACATACAGTGCAAAAATCAACAGATTAGTGCGAACATTTTGTTCTTATTTTAAGTTATGTGGATTAGCATAATGCATATTGAGTTTATGAGTTTTTTGTTTTCTATAACAGGGAGATATGTTGCTCCAGAGGTCTTTAGAAATGAAGACTATGATACCAAAGTCGATGTTTTCTCATTTGCCTTAATTTTACAAGAGGTATGGCTTTATAATCTTTTATTTTATTCTACAAACGTTCATGTATGATCTGTTTTTAAGTATTCGTTACATTGGCTAATTCCGGGGGTCTTAAGGGAAACAACCGCTCTACTCTTTTGAGGGTAGAGGTCTGTTCTGCATGCCCCCCTCCTGGCGACCCGACTCCACCCCTGGGTGGAATATACCGTGTTCACTTGGTTTCATTGTTAGTGGCTAATTGTAGAGATAGTTCCATATTTCTGAATGGAACCAAGCTGTTTGGTGTGTACATATCTGATCAATAGTGAAATATAATCTGACCTTCTATGGCTTTCCACTAAGCCATTGTGAATGAACTACATATCATGTGACGATATTGATCATGCAATTCAAATTATGAACTTTATTTGTTATTTAAGTTGTTAGTTTTGTTTTGCACCTCTCTTTTCTGATTTGCGACACCAGGCTATTACATAAAACAATTTAAATACGTCTTTTTCATGTTGATTGATCTTCCAAATTTATGATTAGGCAACCAAAATTTCCCTTCCTAACTGCAATTTCATTAGCATTTATCATGTAATTCACATTTACCAATACCTCTCTGATTTCCAAAGCCAATCACTTGAATTTATAAATAACATATTAAGCTAATCAGGCTGGAACCTTTCAGGTTCCACATCACTCATCTCTAAACATTTTCATCTAAAACACGGTTATACAAAACCTCTGATCAAAAGCCAATTATCTTTTCCTCAATAACATCCTTATTATTATTTCCAATAAGAACCATGTTTCTGAATCTTTAAATCACAAAGAAATAAGGACTTAGAGCCATCGTAATCTTAAAGGATATAATAGTAATAGTTATATCAATAAACACATACACAAATGCCACCCTTGTATCCAAAGGTATACCTCTCCTTGATATGTCATCCTTATCCCAAAATACACCTCTCCTTGATATGCCACCCTTATTCTAAAGTACACCTCTCCTTGATATGCCGTTCTTATTTCCTCATCAAAATTTACAGATTATTCCCAATCAGGACAAACCGAAGTCACAAACGTATTGATGGAACATTATCTATAATTTTAACCAGAAACAGTTTCAAAATGAATATTGTACACTCTTCCTTTATCATTTTGAAAAGAACAATATGACAATAACAAAATCCACCTTTGAATAAAATATTAACTTTTCTGGTCAACACAATAAACTTAGCCGGATTTCATATCCGGTCATGCGTTGGCCAGATTACCCAACCGGACAACGCTTCCAAAACATTGATCATAGATGAATCCGGACGGCACGCTAGCCGGACTAGGCCGTATCCAGACGACATGATAAAACGATAAAACGACACTTATCCGGACGACATGACAACCAGATGGAACGCGTATCCGGACGACACTACAACCGGATGGAACGCGTATCCGGACGGCATGCTGGGCCGGACTAGGCCGTATCCGGACTGCACGCTAGCCAGACTAGACGTCTCCGGACGGCTCGTTAACCGGTTTCCCACTTCTCTGGTCAAAACTATGACCGGATCATAGTTTCACATTTTACTAACACATTGTCTGGTCAATACTATGACCGGACATTCTCACTCCGGTCAACAAATTTCAATGCATAATTTGATATACAGAATGTGTAAAATCATATGAAAAGTTTGAACCACTCACCTTGTGCAATCTTTGAAAACAAGATTGAATCCAACTTCAGATTCCAAGTTAATTGTAAGCAATCCGGACAGACTCTCTCAACTCTCTCTCAGGTTTCCAAAATGGCAAGAAGCTTAATTTATGAGCCTCCCCTCATATTTATACCCCAGTCGTGGGCAAAAGTTTCACTTGTATCTTACGGGTCTTACTTCTCTTGCACAAATATTTAAAAGCCTTCTATGTAGCTACAAATATTTGGAGAACTTCCAATTCACATTGATTATGAAGTTGGAAGCTGTCATTTTGACTTGAAAAGACAGTCGTAGAGCAGGATGCCATCCACCAACCCCTAATTGCCAAAATAGAATTTCCCTTTTGCTACCTTGAGAAGGATACTTATGAGTCAGAGTATATAACATGCTTAAATTGCTTCTCTCTCTCTCTCTCTCTCTCTCTCTCTATATATATATATATATATATTGAGGGACGTAACCATTCAAATAATTGAAGCTGTTTCTTGGTTTTGATTCACATGTGCATCACGGACAAATTGCTTACAAATTACTTGTATGCACATGTGCATACCGTCCAGGTGAATGGTTACCAGGTGTTCCTCAGTTTTTCATTTTTTCCTGTTTTCCGTTGACCCGACCCTATATATGTGTGTGTGTATATATATATTGCTTCATATTCCTGGTTATTATGTGATTTATTGGCAAGTTTCCGCTAGTCATGTCAAGTTGTGATTAGCTAATCTTTTGGCCATTTATAGTTTGTACATGTTCTTGGTTATAATGTGATTTATTGACAAGTTTCCACTGGTCATGTCAAATCGTAATCTTCTAATCCTTTGTTTTCTTCATCTGCTGAAGATGATTGAAGGCTGCCAACCATTTTTCATGATGAGTGAAGATGAGGTACCTAAAGCATATGTTGCGAACCAACGCCCTCCCTTTAATGCTCCATCAAAGTGTTATGCCCACGGTCTTAAAGAGTACGTGACCTCTATTTGTTATTTTAATTGCATTTCTTGTGTAAGAATGTGCTTTGTTTCTTATGTTACTTACTTCATTTCACTTGATCTTCCTATCTTTCTCCATTATTTCATATATGTTGCAATTTACTTGGTTTTTATATCAAATTAATTGGTTGGTAATTTATAATGGGTAGGTCTCTACTATACACATCTATAATAAAAATGGAAGGATCAACCATATAACAAATAAGTACTAATTGCTCATGTTCATGTTGATGTGTTATGTGGCACCATTTAGCAGAGGCGGACCTAGATTTTTTTTTGGAGAGGTGGCACCATTTGACTATAAGAAAAGAAGCTATGGATATTTTTCACAAAATCATCATTAGCCTTTTGGTTATTTTCTTGCTTTTCGTGTGATGTCCTTTGTTCGAGTCTTTTATTCCAAATTCTTTTTAGCAACATAATGAACCTGAAATTAAGAGCTAAACACTAAGAAAATGATACAAATGGGATTCAAATCCGTGCCTAGAAGGGAGAAGAGACTATGCAAATGACTCTGCCAAAAGAAACTTGTGTTGTTATTGTAGTTTCAAAATATATATGATGGCCCCCTAACAAAATAATACGTTGGCACCTTTCCCGACCCTAAAACTTTTTACACTACAACGGAGGAATGAAGAGGTGGCCCTTGCTTCCATGTGCACTATAGTGGGTCCGCCCTTGCCATTTAGTGAGCGTAGCTAGTTTGGGATTATGAACCAATATTTAACCTTGTAATAAATGAACACATCCATTTCCTATGTCTATTGAAGTTATATTATTGTTGAAAAATCAATGTTTCTTCGGTAATCATGGGTGTCTGGGCCAGCTTAAGCCATCCTTGACTAATCCCATAGGGTCTTGAAGATGATAGTCAGGAAAATCTCCAGTGGCCCTAATGAGACTCGAACTAGCGTTCTATCGAGGGGAGCCCCAAGGCCTAGTTTTTATTTGCCAGTTGAGAAGTACAAATATTCCCAGACAATATAAATGTATACATTCATAGATATACAATCAATATGTCCATTGAATTGAATCTATTTTGCCTACTTCTTGCATAGTTTGTTTTGGATGTGTTTGCCTTGTGATTAAATTTGAATCATGGAGGTTTGATGTTCGTTAATCTAGTTTGAAATCTGAAGCTGATTTCTAGTAGAATATTAGTGTAGATGTCCAAAATACCCTCCTATACAGCCCCCCCCCCCCCCCCCCCCCCCCCTCAGAAGACCTTTGTATTTTAAATCCTGACAATATGTGTAATGACCAAAATACCCTTTGATACCTGTCTTTGGGAATGAGATTATAAAGCTCATGAGGGGTTATGAAGAATATAAAAGGTTAACGAGCGTTCTTTTCTTTTTTTCTTAATCTTTGCAACTCTTTCACAGGTTGATTGAAGAGTGTTGGCATGAGAATCCCGAGGAGAGACCGACGTTCAGGAAAATAATCACTCGGTTGGAATCAACCTACTATTCTATAAACCGTAGGAGGCGTTGGAAGGTACATCTCTCTCCGTAAAAGGTGCAACAAGAATTGCTTTGCTTTGTGTAGCGCACACAGTCATGGTGTAAAATTGTGGTTCAGGTCCGACCGTTGAGGTGGTTTCAGAAAATGGAGATGATGTGGAAGAAAGAAGATTCTGAAAGAAGTAGTCGTGACCGTTCATCTCACATCTAAAATGATTAACGGTCTAAAACTTGTGTGCCCTATTCAACTCATGAACTAACCATCACGGAAGCTAGAAAAGACGAGAGAAGGTGGTCTGATGACAAAAAGGCGTTGTGCAATGATATTCTTTACAGGGTTTTGTCTACATATCGATTTTTTGTTGTTTACAATGTCGTTTTTTCGTTAGGATTTGTCGTCGTGAAACAACTATTGAGTATTATTGTGGGAAAGGTTGAATAAGAATATGGCTTGAGAGACCATATAATACTTGTACTGATTCATTGAATTGCATATGCTAATAGCTAGAGAGAGATGATCAATTGAAAATCATGAAAAAGTTGAGAACCGTGAGAACAATAAATTATGTGTTGTATGAAGTCCCTGAACTATTACCATGATCATCATCTTCATCTTCTAAGTCAGTACTTCTTTTTCTTGAATTTGAACCCTACCCTTCATCCCTTATAGGATCTTGATTTCATCAGTCAAAGACCTACCAGCCTAGTGGTAAAGGCTTGGGCATGGCATAGTCATGAACCCGAGTTCGAGCCTTGGGAGAGGAGTGTTGGCGACATTTAATTGAGGCCATGTTTAGCCTCCAAATTTGCCGGGGATTAGTCGGGCTTTGGCCCGGACACCCTTACAAAAAAAAAAGAAAAAAAGAAAAAAAAAAGAGGGGTTTTCAACAATTAATGGATCTTCTTCCCTTTCTGTGCCGCCTTCTTGAGAAATCGATGTTTCATCTTCTTGTTGTACATAATGTACACCAAGCTATTCATTTTCCCTGTGGTTAGGCGATTTTTCGTGTGGACTTGATTGAGCGTACTCCGGTCTTCATTATACCTGGAAGGTGTGTCATATAAGTTGACTTTCAATATTCATTATATGTGGCATCATCTTTAACAAGCCTCTCCATACAATTAAACAATCCCTTTGTGATCTCTGGATGGTTAGATTTACCGGGAGTCTATCTAAATTGAGGATTCAAGAAGTATCCGTCTGCATGTAAATCATGATGTAACTGATGGTCCCACTTTGAATTGATGATGTCCCAAATCTCCTTGTAAGGAAGTCACATCATCATCCAAATTCTTTGCAATTTTTTTCTTTGATTCATCCATTGTCCCATAAATGCATCCCATCGCAGGATTCTCACCATCAACTATCCGAAGAACATGCACAATGGGCTTTGTGGTTCTGATAGAATAAACCACACTAGGCCAAAAGGTTCTCTCATTTATAACAATCTTCTTTTATTATTTTTCCTTTGGCTTTTTCATCCATACACAGTTTGACCACTCATTTGAAATAAACATAGCTTGTAGTTGTTGGCTGTTGCTTCAAATTAAACATATTCTCCAATGTCAAAAAGGTTGTGGCTAATCAAATAACTTCAATGACTCCATCAAACAATTCAAATAACTTCTATGCATCTTCACATAGTCTAACGGATCAAAAGTCTTAAGAAAACAGTCCAATATTGATTGTTGACTAGAAAATTGATCAGACTTCTATTTCTCATGTCTGACCAACCATCTGATCACAACAAGACCCCGATATCTTCCCACGTAGCTTTGGTATCATTCACTATTTCAGTATTCGTCTTCACTTCTTCTTTAAAAGTCCATGTCCTGTTGATAATAGGCCTCTTGAGAGAGGTTAGTGAATTAGAAGCATCTAACAGTTATTCTTTAGAATTGTTCCTATTGAAATTATCGTCTGATACTTTTTCTATAGAAGAACCTTCAGCTAGTATGTTTTTAACGAACCCAAGTGGTTCTATTTATTGTTTTTGAAAACGTTTCTTCATCAGTTGATCATGGTGATTTTAAAAATAAGGAGAAGTTCAAATCTTCATAGCAGGTCTGGTCCAAATGTTGACCGAAGTAGGAAGTCAGCTATGGAAGCAAGCCCAGAGTCACACCTGTATTGATACTACTAAAAATTTTAATGGAAAATTTGCATCAAAGTATACTTGAAAGTGCAACCTTGATGACTTTGCCATTGAATTGAATTGAAGTTGTCTTTAATTACATTTTGTTCACATTTTACTTTTATTCTTTAATTCTTGTTTTATTGGTGATTCATTTTCCTCTTGTTTTAATGTAAAAACATATTTTTAATTGAAATAAAAATAAAAACCGAATAAAATTAATCATACTAATATATATTTGTATGAGTTTTTGTTTTAAAACCCTTACAATAATATTTAAAAAACTTATTATTTTATTATCCAACATTGAACTTGGTATAAAATGACTCTTTTAACCTTTGTTTGAGAATTGGAAAAGACAAAAGTAAAGGATTTATACAATAAACAACCATATTTAAACTTTACCCAAGTATACATAAGCAAAATAGATAAGATAGAGATAGAGTCTTGTTGTGTCTTCATTTGCATTTTCATAAAAAATATCAAAGAAAACCATAAGAGTGGTGTCTGATTGGTTTGAGCTTGGCTTTAAAGGTCAAAAGTACCCGGAGGTTTCATGTTCAAATCCAAGGAGGAATAAAAATTTGCTTGTGGCCACGGAGGTTCAAATGCGATGACTTCGGGCTATCTGCAAAGCAGGTGGTCGTCCTGGAATTAGTCGGCTCGCATAGCGGGTTGAATATCCAGGTTAATCAAAAAAAAATATCAAAGAAATGTGTCTAAATATAATTCAAATAAACTACTTGTTAAAAAATTGAATACCAATGAACCAACTAATAACAACTAATAGGATTTTAAATCTCAATAAATTGAAGAAAATAGAATAGAAGGTGTCATAATTCTCGAAATTTAGGTTCTGTTTGTCTAACATAAGCAACTTATTTTTTGAGTTTATTTAAAAGCGTTGTTTAGATGGGTAAAAAGTAGTTTATAAACTAGTTTATTGAAACGTTATTTGAAATAACATTTTAGGGGCTTTTTGACACTTTTTTCAATTATAATTCTGATTAAGGTTAGTTGATATTTATTACTATTAATTAAAAATGAATACTAAGAAATATTAATTAAAAGTTATTAATTAATTTTAGTTGTACATATATACTAATATTAATTATTTAAAGTTATTATTAATAATATCAATTAATCATCAAAAAGTAAATATAAAAAGTTTAAGAATATTTATATAAGTTATTTAAAAATTAAAATTATACTTATTTTGTTTATAGATAATAAAATTATGTTAATTTAATGAATTTAACAAAATATTTAATTCAATTATCAAATATATTTTTTAAAAGTTATTAATTAATTAGATATGTGAGTTTATCATTTTTATTCATATTATATGTAATGATTATTTAAAATCACAAATCAATGATGATTTTTTATACATAATCAATTTGAAATTATTTTAATTAACATGTTATATTATGTAATTTTTATTATTATCTTGTTTGTATTAATTAACATATTATATTATTTAGGGATTTGTTTTAACTATACTATTACATGTTGTAATTGATTAATTTTTAAGATTTTCCTTTTGGTTATTTTACATTTTTCATCTAGCTTATCAACTAGTTTTTATCAAATGTATTTGTTCATCAGCTAGTTTGTCAAACATAACATTAGAGAACTCCCCAAAAATGATTATAGTTAGAGAAATAATTTTTTATAATATACATTTTTGTGTTTCCAAAATCAAGATATTTGGATGAATTTGAATTCACAAGTATGGGGTTAGAGATGGCAACGAGGTCGGGGGTACTGGGAATTGCAATCCACATCCCCATTCCAGCTTTTCAATCCCCATCACCTTCCTCGTCAAACAGTAAGATTTCATTCTCATCCTCATTCCCATCGGGGAATCAAGGATGGCTCTCTGTACATAGTTTAAGTTTTTACATATTATGTATGTAGGAGTGTCATCTTCTTTTAACCTTATTTTTTGTGTTAACTGTATAAACCAAAATGGTCCAATAGGAATCCATATTGGTTCATGGTTATTAGGTTATTAAATATTTAATAAATGATGACATAATATAGGAGTTACATTTTTCCTAAAATTTGGCTCTTTTCAAATATTTAATTCCTCCGGACGTAATGAACATCTTATTATGTCTTTCATCGTGTTCATCTTTAACATGTTTGGAATGACATACCAGTCATTAGGTGTGAACATGAGGTGCTATCAAAAATGATTATTTTCCACTCTCCACTGCTACTTTGGAGTAGCCTAATCTTCAAAAGCTTCACGAGGGACTCGACGTCCAATTGTAGCTTAATCTTAGTATTGTCTTGGATATAAAATAATACTTAAAAATGAAAATAAAAGTTCTTTTTCAACATTTTCATAGTAAAAGATGTTGCAATGAAAACTTTTAGAAGAAGGGTATGTAAGAAAACGTCTGAAAAAACCTGTTACGGAACTACCGATAAGTATGAACTGCCTACTCCTACAGCTTGCCTTTTTAAAGTAACTACTTGGCCGACTTCTCGTCTTCAGTCGCTGACTTCATGTCTACAGAGTGCACCACATCTTCAACTCCTTTCAGCCGATCTAGTGGGATAGGGGAGGTGAGGCTAGAGGAAAGGAGCAAACCCTACGTCTAATCACCGATACTTGGACCTGCTTGGGGACTGATTGGTTCCCCTTAGGTGGATTGGTCCTTGTCAAGCTGGCCTAAATTTTTAATTACTCTTAATTGTATATATTTTTGTTTATGAATATGTTTAATTATTGGGATTCATAATTGTCAACAATCTTCATGGATATGTTCACTGTTTTCACCACCCATCCTTGTCCATCTACATTTGTAACCATTTATGATTGTTCAAAATGTTCATGGATATGTTCACTTATTGGGATTCATAATTGTTTACAATGTTCATGGATATGTTCACTGTTTTCACCACCCATCCTTGCTCATGTACAATGTAACGGAAGAGTAATTGTAGGGAAGAAGACGATGATAAGTTTCTTTTATTTGTTTTATTGTTTTATAATGTTACTTAATGTTTGCAGTTTATATGATTTATACCTAAATATTATGCATGAAAAAGTGGGCAATACAAAGTTCCATACAATACAAAATGGAAAATGTCAACATATATAACATGGGTTGAGTTCACGTGAGACTAATGGTTTTTCGTGAGACCCGTAAGATCTATTTATGTTCATTGATCAACTTTATAAGCTAATGATCTAATGGTCTAAAATTGCAAGGTGACAATTTTGTGATTATTGAGAAGTATCGCGACAATTTTGTGATTATGAATGTTCAGATTGTAGATCTAATCCAAGGGTTAAGAAGTGGTCTTATGGTCTTATGAAAAACCTTTGGTCTCATATGACCTCAAGTCTATATAACATAATTAAATCTTGATGTAAAACAAATTTTTAA